TCCAGTCCCCTCATCATCCTTGTAGCCCTCCGCTGGACTCTCTCCAGTAGCTCTTCATCTTTCTTGAACTGGGGAGCCCAAAACTGGACAGAGTACTCCAGATGAGGCCTCACCAGGGCAGTGTAGAGGGGAAGGAGAACCTCCCTCGTCCTGCTGGCCACACTCTTCTTGATGCACCCCAGGATCCCATTGGCTTTCTTGGCAGCCAAATTTAAGGTGATTTTCCTAATTTTTGTTAGCTCATCTACCCTTTGATTCCACTTTGTGGCTGGTTGATTATTCTTAGCATGTGCTTTTATCCATCCCATGTTGGAAGGGGTTTTCTGGCTGTGTCTAGTAATAATTGCCAATCTTTGTTTCTCCAAACTGGGGATCTGTTCACTTCCCAATTCAAGGTTCGCCACTGACAGAGCTACTGTGCGGCACTGGCCCACTCAGCATAAGAGTCTGCATATAAAATCTTTGCTCCATTCTGTGCTGCCAAAAAACCTGCTCTTACTTCTCCCACTTGTGCACTGCCTTCACCTTTTTCTGTCAGTTGTTTGCTGGTGGTAATATCTAATGCAAGGGCCTTATATGGCCATTTACCGTTTACCTTTTTTGCTGAAGCATCTGTAAACCAGATGTTTTCTGCTAGTGTACCCTCAGGGAGGGGCACAATGGTGAAGCATCCAGAATGGGTGAAGGTTTAAAAAGTGGTTGTGATGCTAAAGGGTCTGTGTTTATGGGCATCTGCAATCTGGCAACCTTACCATGTCCTTCAGTGAACTGTGTATTTTCTGCAACTCCTGTTAGGCAGGCATGCCATTTTCTGATAGTGGGTTTTTGTGCAGCTCCTTCTGGGGGAGCAGTCCGCTTTAGGATTGCTTCTAGTAAATCAAATGGTTGTCTAGGTTGCACAGGTTGTCCCTGATGTTTTTTCTCAACTTGTTTAACTGCTTGGACTAAAGATAAAAGTCCCTTTTCCCGTTCAAAGTATCATTGTTCTGTTTCTTTAAATGCAGTTGAGCTAAACAATAAAGGTCTTTTTGGCCCATCGAGGCCAGTTTGGAACAGGTTACAGTAAGTAGTATGTTGGAGAAACCATGGGGCTGTACTGGTCCCAGTAACTGATATGTCTTTAATTCAGTTAAGAGTTTTGACCACCTCTGTATGTTCTGATTTCCAGTCCCAGGGTTTGCCTTTCCATAAGAGTGAGTATAATAGACCGGATATAATAGAAAATCCAGGTATGTGCTTCCTCCAGTATCCTAAAGTTCCCTTTAATTGTTGCGACTGCTTCCTTGACTGGGGCATTTTAGCTCTTTGATTTTGTTCAAGGGATCTGGAGGAATCACTGCACTGCCTGCTACCCACCAAGTACCTAAAAATTTTACTTCTTTATTTGGTCCCTGACATTTTTCTGGGCAGAATCTTAATTTCTGCTTTATTTAGTGCTTGCCATACTGCTGCTGCTCCTTCCCTTGACTTCTCAGGGGAAGTTCCACCAGTCAGAGTATCATCCACAGATTGCTACAGAGGGAGTGAGACTGTAAAAGTTCAGCAAGTGCGGCACGAACAATTGTGGGTGAACGGTTATACCCCCGTGGGAGTCTGTTAAGGGTATGTTGTATTTCCTCCCAATTGAAAGCAAACTTCTCTTTATCCTCCTCACTCAAGGGAACCATAAAGAAAATCTTTTACATCTAGTGCTGCCATCCGTGGGTATGCAGCTGCTTACAAAGAAGCTGTTCAGTTTACAGTGCTTGGTACAGCAGCGGTTAGCGAGGTCGTATTAGCATTCAGGTGCCAATAATGAAGTGTTAAACACCATCTCCCATCTGGTTTCCGAACTGGCCAGATAGGTGAGTTATATGGGGAATGAGTTCTGGAGATAATTTGTTGTTTCTCCAAACCAACTATGACTTCAGAAATTCCATTTTGTGCTGCAGCAGAAATTGGATATTGTGATACATTATTAATTTTGGAATCTGGGAGTGCAGGGGCTGCGCAAAGTTTACACACCTCAGCCTCACGATTTCTGCTGGGTCTGGGATCGATGTTTGAGCCGAAGGACCACACACTGCCATTGGGCAGGTGCCAGGTTCAGCCATTTAAAACATCGAAACCTAGAATATTTTCACGGTAATCTTTAATTGCAAAGCGAGTAGTTGCCATGTGCTTCTCACCTGGGAGCCATGAATTGACTTTGGCAGTTTGACACACAACACTTGCTCCGTTCACACCAGTGATCTTAACTCTTTGCCATCTGGATTGCATGCCCAGCTTCTCACAGAATCACAGAATGGTAGGGGTTGGAAGAGACCTCTGTGGGTCATCTAGTCCAACCCCCCCGCCGAAGCAGGGTCACCTACAGCAGGCTGCACAGGACCTTGTCCAGGCGGGTCTTGAATATCTCCAGAGAAGGAGACTCCACAACCTCCCTGGGCAGCCTGTTCCAGTGCTCCGTCACCCTCAGAGGGAAGAAGTTCCTCCTCATGTTCAGACGGAACTTCCTGTGCTTCAGTTTGTGCCCATTGCCCCTTGTCCTGTCACTGGGCACCACTGAAAAGAGCTTGGCCTCATCCTCCTGACACCCACCCTTCAGATATTTGTAGGCATTTATAAGGTCCCCTTGCAGCCTTCTCTTCTTCAGGCTGAACAAGCCCAGTTCCCTCAACCTCTCCTCGTAGTGGAGATGTTCCAGTCCCCTCACCATCCTTGTAGCCCTCCGCTGGACTCTCTCCAGTAGCTCTTCATCCTTCTTGAACTGGGGAGCCCAGAACTGGACACAGTACTCCAGATGAGGCCTCACCAGGGTAGTGTAGAGGGGAAGGAGAACCTCCCTTGTCCTGCTGGCCACACTCTTCTTGATGCACCCCAGGATCCCATTGGCCTTCTTGGCAGCCAGGGCACACTGCTGGCTCATAGTTAACCTGTCGTCCACCAGGACACCCAGGTCCCTCTCCACAGAGCTGCTCTCCAGCAGTTCCGCCCCAAGCCTGTACTGATGCATGGGGTTGTTCCTTCCCGGGTGCAGGACCCTGCATTTGCCTTTGTTGAACCTCATCAGGTTCCTCTCTGCCCAACTTTCCAGCCTCAGCATCTTGTTGTGTTAGTACTGAAATTTGAAATGCCAGTATCCCACAATCCCAGTCAGGGAGGGGATCAGCATCCCATTCTCCCAACCAGGGAGGGGCCCAGTACCCCAGCATCCCGTCAAGGGAAAGGATTAATTGTTAAACTATTTTTATCTCAACCCATGAGTTCTTTCTCAGTTTTACCCTTCTGATTGCCCCCCATCCCTCTGGGGGAGCAGTGAGTGAGCGTTATGAACATTCTTCTCTACTAAATCCCAAACACAGCAGCTACTGAGAGGAAAATGAACAATAGCCCAGTTAAATTGAGGACATTATCCACCCCTCAATCTATACCATCTTCATCATGCTCAAGTCCACACTTTCCAATAAATTACCACCACTTTTCCTGTCTTTTGATATATACACATAGAGATATCATTCCCTTAGTCTATGGGCCATCCCTCTAAACTGTCCGTTGAGTTCATTTAGTCCACGACTTTGGGCTCCATCTGTCATAACAGTCCTTCAGGGCAGGAGAGATGATGGGTGCTGTTGGATGGTTGCATGCTGCATCCAAAACTCACGGCTGGTGTATCTGGCGTGGCCCATGCCCACAGTCTGCAGCCTGAAGGTGTTGATCTTGAGGAAGCTGCTGGATGCCAGTTGCTGAAGCCAGGTCTGATTCTACCACTACTGCATTTTGCTCAGTTTCATGAAAGTTCATCCTTCATCAGTCTGGATTATTCTTACTGTAACACCATTGATATGACATATAGCAATCATAGTAGCGATGACACACAGTGGAGGGGTAATTAGCAATTCACATCATAGAGTTTAAATTGTTGTCTATTCTCACCCAAAATCACATCCCCTTGAGGTACACATCGGACTTCCCCATCCTGCCGCATCACCCACCAAGTGCATCCAGGTCCTTGAGCAAAAGCAGTCCCACCGATGGGTTGGCCTTTGCCTGTGGCAGGACTAACCCAGACTGGCTGCTCTAACATATTCTTCAGGTGCACTACGGGGACTTTATCCAATGCCACAGGATGTGGAAGTTTGGACTGGGCAGGGCCAGCTCGATTGGCAGATCCCCTGGGGTTAACAAACCAGGTGGCCTTTGCTAAATGTGTATCCCGGTGTCCGAAGCTCCAACCCCCCCAGCACTCTCAGAGTAGTTTTTAGCAGTCGATTGCATTGTGTGACTTTCCTGGAGGCTGGTGCATGATGGGGGATGTGATACACCCACTCGACGCCATGCTTTTTGGCCCAAGTGTCCATGAGGTTGTTTTGGAAATAAGTCCCTGAGCCATGGTGCCCCCCAGCCAACTGCCCCCCGTTCATATACTGAGCACGTCATCCTACTGTATAGAATATCCTTTTGGCCAATTTGGATCAGCTGTCCTGGCTGTGCCCACACCCAGCTGGCAGGGCGTGAGGAGCTGAAAAGTCCTGGACTGCT